TTCTACTTGTACTAGAAAGCTGGTTGTCACTTCTATCTTGTGTCAAAATTAGGGGATGATCAGACGGTGGAAAGATCTCCGTTTGTTACCAAACTTCCGACAGTCTGAATTTATCCAAAGTTATGCTTTTTGCTCCCAAGTGTATTCCTTTTGTCAAAATGACCTGAAAACTCTTTTGAGACTCTAAAACATGGAAATCACTTAAAAGCCTTTAAATCTGAGTGAAAACACCTGCATAAGATATTAAAAGTGATCCATAAAAGTAGTCAAAATCAGGTGTTATCAACTCCTCCAGACTTAAACCTTTGTTGAAACAAAACCAAAGATCTGAATCTGGAAAAGAGGTTTAAAAATCGCAGGAACTAACAAAATCTCAGAGATCATGCTTCTAAACCAGAGTTATTCATTATGCTCAAATCAAGGATAGTCTAGAAAATTCTCACCAAAGTACAGGCATATCTAGTCCGTTGATCCATCATGCGAAAATCTAGACACTTAAACCTATCTTTCTGTCAACTAGCTCTTAACATTCATTCAAAAGTTCAAGTGGTTCTCATTAAAAGGATTTTAGTAAAGCAATCAAGGCTGGATGTTCAAAATGGCTGTTTAAGGGATGAGGTTCTCAGTGTTTAGAGTTACCTTTTTCTAGAGAGACAAGACATTATGCAAAACAGCAAGAGATGATGGAACCATTGATGCCCCCACAGTTTCCAGTCCCATTCTTCTTGCCTTAAGATTCTTGATCTCCTTTCTTCAGGTTCTCCTCATCACTCCCCCAGAGTTAGATTTTTGTCCAGGTTGTGAATCCAAAACTCCTTAAATGAATACCTATTGTCTTGGCTCAAGTGATTTCGGCTTCTAAAACTTTTTAGGCTTTTAGTTTCCTTTCCTTTCTTTCTTTTTTTCTTTTTCATGTTTTTTCTTTTATAAAGGGAAAACTACCTTTTGACTTGGAGTCTTAGGGAGCACGAAATTTACCTTTAGGAATGAGCTTTTCTGAGGCATCATACGATTTCTGGCACACTCCCTTCTGGTACACTCCCTTCTGGTCTCTTTCAGTCTTTCTATTGAGTGACTCAAAACTATGTTGTTCCTCCCTCTCCGGCGTTTTTGCACATATATGTCGATATAAATAAAGAGAGAATGCATGAGGTTTAAACATAAAGGTTTGGGTAAAGGGTGTGGTACCATCTAAAGATGAACTGGCCATCTAGGACAACACAGAGTGGTAGTAATAAGGTAAAGATGTCCTAGATGCATATCATGATGCCTACTAAAACCAATGATGAGAAAATTAGATGTCAAAATTATGTTCAAGTGAAATGAGCTAGTGTATCCTGGCAGAAAAGATCTCCATGAATAGAAATCCTATGGTGGGAGTTCGTAGTACAAGTACTCTAGCTACCACCTAATCTAGTACTAACCACAAAAGAACTAGCATGAAAGGCCTAGAAACACATGTTTTTGTCCCGGCGTTCCTATTTTGAAAACCGTTTTGAAAATGTTTTATGAAACAAAAAGTCAAGACAAACCAAATTTCATTAGTAAAGGATGAACAACCTCCCCCAGACTTAAATCACACTGCCCCCAGTGTGAGAAATCTTTGAGAGGATGGGATAATGATGGACTAAAATTTGAAATGTTTAGGTGTACTTACCTGGTGATGTGCTTTCTGGTTTGTGATTTCTGTTCACCTCTTATTCGTTCTTCGCTTAAAAACCTGAAATTATATAAAACAAAAACAAAGGAGCAAAAATAGAAAAAGGCAAATCAAAGGGAATAAGTAAAATACCAAGTGGGTTGCCTCCCACTAAGTGTTTCCTTAAAGTCATTAGCTTGACTTTGATGATGCTTTAGCCTGGAGGGTCTGCCAAGAGCATTGCTTCTCTTCCTTCTTCTTCTGCGAGGTATGGCTTTACACGCTGTCCGTTAACGACAAATGTATCTCCTTTCTTACCCCAAAGAATGAGTGCTCCATACGGTTTTACTTCCTTTACTGTGAAAGGTCCAGACCATCTAGATCGTAGCTTTCCTGGAAAAAGCTTAAGGCGAGAATTGATAAGAAGAACCCTATCATGTGGAGCAAAGGACCTATGTATGATCCTTCTATCGTGATATGCCTTTGTCTTTTCCTTGTATATCTTGGAGTTTTCGTAGGCGTTATGGCGGATTTCTTCTAATTCGTGCATTTGAAGCATTCTTCTTTCTCCAGCTGCCTTAAAGTCCATGTTCATCTCCTTAATAGTCCATTGTGCTTTATACTCCAGCTCTACAGGGAGGTGACATGCTTTTCCATAAACAAGATTGAACGGCGTGGTCCCTAAAGGAGTTTTGTATGCTGTCCGATAGGCCCAAAGTGCATTGTCGAGTTTTTCAGACCAATCCTTGCGATTTACGCCGGTTGTCTTTTGTAAAATCGATTTGATCTCTCTGTTAAAGATTTCCACTTCTCCACTTGTTTGAGGGTGATATGGAGATGCAACTTTATGCGTGACTCCATTCTTTTTGAGCAGATTTTCGAAGACTCTGTTGATGGAATGGGATCCTCCATCGCTTATCACAATTCGAGGAATTCCAAAGCAAGGGAAAATGATTGATTTAAATAGCTTTATAACCACTTTTGCATCATTAGTAGGGCTAGCGATTGCTTCCACCCATTTAGAGACATAGTCTACCGCTACTAAGATGTATTGGTTTCCAAAAGAAGTTGGGAAAGGTCCCATCAAATCAATTTCCCATACATCAATGATTTCAACTTCAAAAATGAAGTTTTGAGGCATCTTATTCCTCTTGCTGATGTTGCCCATTCGTTGGCATGAATCACAGCGTGAGATGTAGGTGTGAGTGTCTTTGAACATAGTGGACCACCAAAATCCTGCTTGAAGAACCTTTGAAACCGTTTTGTAGGTTGCGAAATGTCCTGCATAGGCTGAACTATGGCATCCAAACAGTATTCCTTCCATTTCTTCTTCAGCCACACTCCTTCTTAATAAACCATCTACACATCTCCTATAGAGAAAAGGTTCATCCAGAAATAATGCTGAATTTTCTTTAAGAATTTATTCTTTTTATAGCCAAAGAATTGTGGAGGTTTGATGTCTGCAGCTAAGTAATTTGCTATATGCCTAAACCATGGGATGTCAAAAGCATCTAAACCGCCGTATAGGAGGTTGAGATGCCTTTTCTTGCACGGTAATAGGTATAGTCTCCATAGCGTAAACGTTTTCTTCTGGCAAAGTATCATTCAAAGGGAGTTTTTCTTCTATTCGAATCCTAGAAAGATGATCTGCTACTCCATTATCTGCTCCTTTCCAGTCTCGGATTTCAATATCAAATTCTTGCAGTAGGAGTATCCATCTGATCAACCTAGGTTTGGCATCTTTCTTAGACATGAGATACTTGATTGCAGCATGGTCTGTATGGACGATAACCTTAGATCCCACGAGATAAGATCGAAACTTCTCCAATGCAAAAACGATGGCTAAAAGCTCCTTCTCCATAGTTGCGTAATTACATTGAGCTTCATCCAGAGTTCTACTCGCATAGTAGATTGCGTGTAGTTTCTTTTCTTTCCACTGACCAAGCACAGCTCTAAACAGCAAAATCACTTGCATCACACATGATTTCAAATGGTTGTTCTCAATCAGGTGGTTGAACAACTGGAGCGGAAACAAGGGCGTTTTTGATTTTATGAAATGTTGCCAAGCACTCATCATCGAATTCGAAGTTTGTTTCCTTGCAGAGTAGGCGTGTGAGTGGTCTGGCAATTTCTGAGAAGCCTTTTTATGAATCGCCTATAGAATCCGGCATGCCTCAGGAAACTTCGGGTTCCCTTCAGATTAGTTGGAGGTTGTAGGCTAGTCATGACTTCAATTTTTGCTTTAACAACTTCAATACCTTTTCAAAATATTTTATGTCCAATCACAATTCCTTCCCGGACCATGAAGTGACATTTTTCCCAGTTAAGGACAAGATGCTTGTCTTCACAGCGCTGCAAAACTTTCCCTAAGTTTGCCAAGCATCTGTCGAAAGAGGATCCATAGACGAAAAATCATCCATGAAGACTTCCATGAAATCTTCGATGAAATCAGTGAAAATAGATATCATACACCGCTGAAAGGTTGCAGGTGCATTACACAATCCGAAAGGCATTCGCCGAGAAGCAAAAGTTCCGTATGGACAGGTGAATATCGTCTTTTCTTGATCTGCCGGTCTAATTGGAATTTGGAAAAATCCGGAATAACCATCTAGAAAGCAGTAATATTCGTGATTTGCCAACCTTTCTAGCATTTGGTCAATGAAGGGTAAAGGAAAATGATATTTTCGAGGTACTGCATTCAGTTTTCGGTAATCGATGCACATTCGATGTCCCGTCACTGTTCTTGTAGCAATCATTTCATCCTTGTCGTTTTTGATAACAGTCACTCCTCCCTTCTTCGGGACAACATGCACAGGATTAACCCAAGTGCTGTCCGAGATAGGGAATATGATTCCTGCTTCCAAGAGTTTCATGATCTCCTTCTTTACCACTTCCATAAGGTTTGGATTCAACCTCCTTTGGCTTTCAATCGAATTCTTGGCATTGTCCTCAAGATTTATCTTATGCATACAGAGGTCTGAGGAGATTCCTTGTATGTCATCAAGAGAATAACCTATGGCATTCCTATACCTCATTAACTCGTTTAACAGCTTCATGGTTTCACCTCTACTTAAGCCAGAATTTATGACGACAGGGTAAGTTGAGTTTGACCCAAGGAAAGCATACTTGAGTCCATCTGGAAGGGGTTTTAGCTCAACTTTTGGGGCTTTGAGCTCGCTCCATGGGTCGTTTATAGCTTCCAATGTATCTTTTGGCGGAGTAGGGATGTGAGTTTCCTCATTCAGGTCCAGATAGTTCACAAGTTTCGCATAATCCTCGGTCTTATCAAGCATTTGCGCACACCCTTTTGAAACTTTTTCGAGCAGGTTGCGATCATCATTTGTGGTGGTGAGGATGATTTTTAGAGGATCATCAAGAAGGATTTCTTCATAAACTTCCTCAGCAATAACATCAAGCTCATCAACCGACAGAGCCCGCCATCTAAAGAAGGTTTCTCAAGACTCTTGTTCATATCGAACTGCATAATCAAACTCCCTAGATGTAGGTCTATCTTTCCTTCCAGAACATTGATTATTGCTCCTGCAGTTGATACAAAAAGTCTACCGAGTATCAGAGGGTCCTTTGGTTCTCTTTCCAATTCAAGCACTATGAAATCAGTCGGAATACAGTTTTCTCCAATCATGACTGATACATCAACCAAGACTCCTTTTGGTCGTCTTATTGATCGATCGGCAAGAATCAGCGAGATTTTTGTGGGCTGAAAAGTATGATATCCTAAACGTTTTGCAACTGAAAGAGACATCATGTTGATGCTTGATCCCAAATCACATAGACAACGTTCAAAAGTCATATTCCTAATTGTGCAAGAAAGTACAAAACTTCCCGGATCTTCTTTCTTCTGGGGGACATGGTTTTGTAAGATGGAACTACATTCATGACTTATCATCAGAACGCCTTCTTCTAATGCTAGAGAATTTTTTAGAATGCCCTTCATGTATTTCCTAAGAGCAGGTTTCATTGCACAAGCTTCAATGAAAGGTAATCTCACATTTAAATGTTCGATTATCTCTTTCAGCTTAGCCCTTTCTTTCTCCTTCTTTGGTCCTTTCAAAGCTTGTGGGTATGGTGGTTTGGGCTTGTAGACACGAGTAAGAGGAGGCGGTATAGGTTCTTCTTCAGCAATTTCTTGAGGAATGTCTTCCTTTTCCTTTTCTCCCTCTTTCATTACTACTGCATCTCCTTCTTTATTAGCCGAATCTCCTTCTTTTCTCCTTCTTTGAAATCCTTTGGGTACTCTGGCTCCTTGTAAGCTAAACCAATCCTGAGGGTAATTGCTTTTAAGAGATCAGAGGTCTCCAATTCGTTTATGCTTTCAGGAAAAGGTTCATCAAGGTCATTAACGGAAGAATCCGTCTCCTTTGATTCATCACTAATCTGGATAAGAAAAAGGGTGGAGAGCTTGTTAATACAATCCTCATGTCTTTTTGATTGACTCTCCATCTCTTTTTGGAGTTTATTAACCTCTTTTTCAAGATCTTCAATCTTGGAGAAAGGATAATAAGGAGGTATTGTGGGATTGGATTGATCAGACTGGGTTTGCTCGAAAGAAGGTTGGAAAGGAGGTTGAAAATGAGGCTGGCCGCGGGTGAAGTGCTCTGACCCACAGTGAAACTCATCTTGGCCGCGGCCAAAATCTTCTCACCTGCGGTGAGTGTCAGTTTTGCCGCGGCTAAGAGGCTCCCACCCCTGGTGGAGTTGATTTTGCTCAGCCTCTTCAATCTAGTAAACATCAGCGGTTTGCATCATCTCCTGATTTTGGAAGTTCCTGTCCACCTCAAGGTTGTTCATCTTCTCAATGTAGGGCTTCCTATGATTGTTTCCCTCATCATATTTATGAATAGGACCAATCACACTAAGAATCTTCTGGATGCCTTCACTAATCTGATCTAGGTATTCTTTACTGACAAATGATTCTTTTTCCTCAACCTGAGGACATCTGAATTGGGTTAAAAGTCTCCTATTTCTGATACTCCCAGCTAGATTAGTTATATAGGCGTGAGCCTCATCTACAGTTCTAGTGGAAAAGTCTCCATTGCTAGAGGTATCAAAAGAAAACTTCAGTGCTTCATTAACTACATGGTAGAAGATGGTCATCAGGCGCTCCTCGTAGAAACCATGGTGTGGACAATCTCTTTGGTAATCTCTGAATCTTTCCCAGGCGTCATAGAGGTCTTCTGCGTCCTCCTGCTGGAATTTTTGAATCTTGTCCGTTAAGAGATTGGAACAGTCTCTGGTGTAAACCTAACTTAGGAAAGCCTCTCTACACTCTTTTCACGTCTTTAGGGACGCAGGTGGCAAAGTTTTAAGCCATTAACTAGCTCTACCAGTTAGAGAGAATGGAAAAGGACAGACATATGGTAATCGGTATTTTTCATTATGGTTGAACATAGCTCTTCAAAATTTTCAATATGATCTATTGGGTGTTCAGTAGAAAAACCGTTATACTTTTTGATATAGCTAATGTATTGTACCTTAGCTTCAGAGTCGCCATCCTTAGGCAAAGGTGGTCGAATTGCTCACCTATCTGCAAAAAGTTTGTGTGTATCACATTCTCCAATCAGCTGTTCTCCCTTCCTGGCATACTCTGGTTCTCCAATAGATTCATTCCCATCATCGATTGGGTCATTAAGCTCATCATCAGATGGATCACCATCTAGAAAGGGTCTTCTTCAGCGAGAGGATCAAGCATATGCTCCTGGCCCCTCATCGAAAAAGTACCTGAAAAATCAAAGAAAAATAAAAATTAGAAAAAGTACTAGCGAATTAAGCAGAGATTCGCAACGAAAGGAAAAAAAATCCCTGGCAACAGCGCCAAAAACTTTATGCTACAAGAATCAAGGGTTACTTCTAGCTTCACGTTTTAAATTTGTAACTCTAAATATCTTCAAGTGCACAGATGTGCGTTGTAGTACATAGGGGTCGAACCACAAAGATTTTGAGCTCAGTACGAATCAATCAAGACTTAAGACTAGTAGAACAAGCAAAATGGGGGTTTCGGGTTTTGGGGTCACTAAATCTAAAGGCAATCGAAATAAACAAGTCATAAAACAATAGGAACAAATCGCTGGGTCTAAATGGTTTTCGCAGGGGTTCATGAACTGATCAAAAGACAAACAAATCGATAAAGGTAATGAACTAGTGAGGATCCCAAACTCGAATAGACACATGTAAGATTAACCAACTCTCGTCACCCTAATCATCTAATCACTCAACACAGCAATTAACTCTCGCTCTCATGCTGCAAATAAGATCATGCATTAAAAAACAGAATTCATCCACACTCGCGATTCTCTGTAGGTAGCTTTCGTCTCCTACAACGATTTCGATCGATCACTTCTAGGTCTGGTAATTCGATACAGCACTCTCGTGGCTCCAATTACTGAGATCAATTTCTAAGCGGTTAGCAACAGAAACGGCATAGGGAACAAGAATGAACGAAGGACTCCTAGATAATTATGAACCCTAAATCGAATTAAGCATTTGATCAAGACATGAAATTCCCTTTGAAAAATCCCTTAAAACCCCAACTGGGAAATTACTCAGACATAGCTGAGTTCAACATCACAAGAGTATTTAGAATTGCAGAGAACTGAAACAGACAAAGGTTAGAAACAAAGAACAGGTTGAAGCAGGAGATCCGATGGTGCCCCTCTCGGTGGCTCCTTTTCTGGGCGTGACTCTCTTCTAGGGTTCCTGGTGAGAAATGTTGCACACCCTTCTAAACGACTTAAAAGAGGTTTATATAGTGTATTGAGTCCTCGGGAACGCCTAGGGCTTGCAGGAATAATGACAGGAGTGACTTGGGCATTAATATGGGCTTCTGAGGCTCGGAATTAAGCTCCCCGCGGTCTAAAATTTTGCACCCCCGGCGGATGACGATTTGGCCGCGGGTGAGCTTCTGACTGTGATGATTCCCCTTCAGTGTATCGACCATATCTGGAGATCTAACCGTTGGATTGCTTTGATTCTACTTGTACTAGAAAGCTGGTTGTCATTTCTATCTTGTGTCAAAATTAGGGGATGATCAGACGGTGGAAAGATCTCCGTTTGTTACCAAACTTCCGACAGTCTGAATTTATCCAAAGTTATGCTTTTTGCTCCCAAGTGTATTCCTTTTTGTCAAAATGACCTGAAAACTCTTTTGAGACTCTAAAACATGGAAATCACTTAAAAGCCTTTAAATCTGAGTGAAAACACCTGCATAAGATATTAAAAGTTATCCATAAAAGTAGTCAAAATCAGGTGTTATCAACTCCTCCAGACTTAAACCTTTGTTTGTCCTGAAACAAAACCAAAGATCTGAATCTGGAAAAGAGGTTTAAAAATCGCAGGAACTAACAAAATCTCAGAGATCATGCTTCTAAACCAGAGTTATTCATTATGCTCAAATCAAGGATAGTCTAGAAAATTCTCACCAAAGTACAGGCATATCTAGTCCGTTGATCCATCATGTGAAAATCTAGACACTTAAACCTATCTTTCTGTCAACTAGCTCTTAACATTCATTCAAAAGTTCAAGTGGTTCTCATTAAAAGGATTTTAGTAAAGCAATCAAGGCTGGATGTTCAAAATGGCTGTTTAAGGGATGAGGTTCTCACTGTTTAGAGTTACCTTTTTCTAGAGAGACAAGACATTATGCAAAACAGCAAGAGATGATGGAACCGTTGATGCCCCCATAGTTTCCAGTCCCATTCTTCTTGCCTTAAGATTCTTGATCTCCTTTCTTCAGGTTCTCCTCATCACTCCCCCAGACTTAGATTTTTGTCCAGGTTGTGAATCCAAAACTCGTTAAATGAATACCTATTGCCTTGGCTCAAGTGACGGTGGAAATATCTCCGTTTGTTACCAAACTTCTGACAGTCTGAATTTATCTTAAGTTATGCTTTTTGCTCCCAAGTGCATTCCTTTTGTCAAAATAACCTGAAAACTTTCTTGAGATTCTAAAACATGAAAATCACTTAAAAACCTTTAAATCTGAGTGAAAACACCTGCATAAGATATTAAAAGCTATCCATAAAAGTGTTCAAAATCAGGTGTTATCAAACAGCACATAAAACACAAGACAACAGCCACAAACCGAGCCAAAGCCAGCCAAAATTGGAGTCAGCCAATCCTTAAACCCATGGCAAAGTCGTGGAAAACAACTCCAAATACCAAAATCCAGCAGCCGGGGATTTTAAGATTAATCGCCAAGAAACAGGTAAGTATCCGAGTACCTCTAGAACTAGAGACATCATATGGCCAGAGACTGCCCCAATCAACGCACCATGATCTTAACATCAACCAGAGATTATGAGTCTCAAGATGAACAAAAAGATTAGGAGGACACCGAGGGTGATACCGAGGTGGCTTAGCCAGACACTGGTGAGATGTTGGTGATCAGGAGAGCTCTTAGTGCTCTAGTGGATCCCGAGATAGTTCAGAGGGAGAACATCTTCCACACAAGGTGTACCGTACTCAAAAAGGTATGTAGTTTAATAATTGAAGGAGGATCACGCACTAACGTAACTAGAAAGCTTATGATTGACAAGCTAGGCCTTGAGACATCTCCACACCCAAAACCATACTGCCTGAGGTGGCTTAATGATGATACCGAGTTAAGAATAGCTCAGCAAGTAACTGTGTCCTTTAGTGTGGGAAAGTATAGCAACCATGTGCCTTGGATGTGGTGCCTATGAAAGTTGGCCACTTGTTACTAAGGAGGCTGTGGCAATTTGACAAGGAGACAATGCACAATGGCCAAACAAACCACTATTCATTCATGCATGACAAGAAGAAGTTCCAACTAGCACAACTTACACCAGTAGAAGTCCATGAAATGTAGCTAAAATTTGCAAAGGAGTCTAAGGTAAGTATGACTAATCTCTTTGTCACTCCATCTACTGTCTATAAAGCTATGCAACATCATGCACCTTTGCTACTAATGGTCTTTCAAGAAAGTTTACTTTCAGGGGCAAGTGAACTAGAACTTCCACCCAAGATTAATGCCTTGTTGACAGGTTTAAAGATGTGTTCCCGGAAGAGATTCCAGCTGGTTTACCACCTTTAAGAGAAATAGAGCATCAGATCAATCTTATTCCAGGTGCAGCCTTACCAGATCGACCAGCTTATCGGATGAACCCCACCGAGACTAAGGAGCTAGAGAAACAGATCCAAGACTTAATG